AAACAATGGTCGGAAACTAATCGAAGAATTAATAAAATAAACCTGGAAGAGCAGTTGGCCGCCATGCGCATGCGCAGAGAGGGCTCTGCATGCCCTAGGTTCTCCATCACAACCCTATGGCTGTTCAGTATCTTCTTAAAAACTTCCAGGGATGAATCACCCACAACTTCTGAAGGCAACTTCTGTTCCACTGGTTAACAGTCCTCGCCTGTTCGGCCGTTTCTCCTTAATTCCAGGTTTATTTTATTAATTCTTCGATTAGTTTCCGACCATTGTTTCTGGTCCTGCCCTCCGGTGCTTTGGAGAATAATTTGACCCCCTCTTCTTTGGGGCAGCCCCTCAAATACTGGGATTCTGCTATGGTGTCGCCTTTTATTCCGATTTTTGTCCTGGCTCCCTGTGACTCAGGCTTTCTCCAACCGGGATAATCACACCTGAGCGATCCTAAATGCCCGGGCTGCACGCCTCTCGCCTGCTGCGCTCCATTGGACGGCAGAGCCGCCGCCGCCTCTCCTGACAGCCGCTGGCGGGCGAATGACCCCTCTCCTCCTTCGCCCGCCCCAAAACTTGCCTCGTAGCCCCGCCTCTCCTTTACGTCATCATCTATCCAGGTTCCGATTGGCCCAGGAAGGAGGTCTACCCATTGGGTCACTCCGATCGGCTGTCTGTCTGACTGGCGCTCACGGGAGGGTGGGGGGACTGGAGGAGCAAGGAAAACTTCCTTGTTTGGGGGCGACGCTCCCTGCCGGAGTCTGCGGTCGCGGCCGGATCCCTCGAGTCTGCGGCGGCTGGGGAACCCCGGCTGGAGCCGGTGACCAGGTGCTTTCCTCCTTTCCACCTTGCTGGGGATTGGGGAGGGGGCTGGACTCGCTGTCTGGTCCAGTTTTGGGGTGGTCGCGGGTTCGTCGGGGCAGGCTTCCTTTAGGATCGATCCTAAAGAAGCGCTAGCTAGGTCGACTCTCTCTCTCCCCCGACCTTTAATCCGGACTCCATCTGCATGCATGTATACATGTATGCATGCATGCATGCATGCATGCGTGTCTCCTGATCCGGGCTTCGCTGGGTTCGCATCCCCAACTTTAGCATTGGGGAGGATGGGAGGGCGCAAAAAGCAGATCCCGTTCACTTCAACGAGCGAAGCGGGAGGAAAAGAAACCGCGGACTTTATCTGGTTCTTAATTTCCAAGCCTAGCCGTCCCCAGGTGCCACGGTTCCTGCCCCTCCTAGGTGAGATCTTGCATGCCTTTTGGAGATAGGGTCCTTCTGCGGCTCTGTGGTAGACCAAGATCTCCGGAGCATAGCAGAGAAGTTTCTATGGAGATCTGCAGTCATCCAGGTCCCGGTTGTCCCAAAGGTGCTTTTTCAAAAGGATCTTATTTGTCTGTCTGTCTGTCTGTCTGTTTGTCTGTCTGTCTGTCTTATCCTATCCTATCCTATCCTTATCTATCTATCTATCTATCTATCTATCTATCTATCTATCTATCTATCTATCTATCTATCT